GGGGGGGGGATTCAACTGCGTTATAATTGCAAAAAAAAAGAAACTATTTTCAAACTAACCTTTAGGTGAATCTTTCTCAAAGTATGCTTTGCATGATTTATACTCTTCTTCTGAAATTGTTGTTTTCAGTTTCAACTCAGCAAGGCTAAATTCTGGCGAGATCTCTTCTGTGACAAAGACAATGACAGATAAGATTCTGAAATAGAATTTGACTACTGATAAAAACATTCAACACACAAGTCATTTATTATCATTGCCTTGATGTGACTATGTTCACTAAGCGATTAACCCAATCTAAAAAATATTCAAAGTACCGGTAATTATTTACTTTTGTTATCAGGAAGACATGTCAAGGGAATTATTATAGGCAAATGGTCAATAATATAATCATGTACTTTTTTGCCCTGTAACCCACTAGGAAAAATTAATGAACATCTAAACAAACGATTCTTCCAACTAGCACTTCCTAAAATATTAGAACCAATAGAGAGAGCTGGTGTTAACATACATGAATGTTTAATTCTCAACAAAATTCATTTAATCAAAGTCCAGTTCATACTCCATAATTCACATGAGCAGAATCAAGTTCAATGAATCAAGTTCAATGACTCAAGTTCATATAAAGCACAGCATCTGAAGCAATTGGAAAAAGCAGATTGAATTTGCATAGACTTAGCTGTTTTTCACCCCTGGCACAGCCAAGAATATCAGCTATGGACCAGATTTGATTTAGATACTGACCTTTAAATAAGCTGAACCAATTAAATTGAAGGGGTGTGTGGAATAAAGCCCTAAGTGACTTTTGGAAAATTCTGAGGTACCAGGATTGAAATTCATGTACCTACCAGCTACATGTATTTTCACAGTTTACTCTGGTCTTAATGATTGTCTAGAAAGAACTCTCAATTATTACTAAGTTCTTTTTAGACAATAATTAAAACCAGAGTAAACTGTAACAATGGCTGGAATGTATTTCAATGTTGGTTATCTCAAAGTTTTCCAAAAGTCACTTAGGGCTTTATTTCACACACCCCTTCAATTAATTTAATATATTTGTAATGTATTTTTAAGACCTGAGCATGGACAAAAGATATTAGTATACATTGTGCATCAGTGCACTAAAATGGCAGCTCGCTGGTTTTCACTCCTTAGAGAGGAGGTTGATATGTGCAGTCGGTGTTTTCCTGTTTTTGTGTGCAAACTTCCTGCCACTAGCTTGGTAAACAGCATCAAATTTAATGTGCATTCATCATGGTTTTTGTGCTTTTGAATTACGTTCACACATTGCATTTGTAAATTGACCTATATATTGCAGTTAGGCTTTTTGCCCAACAAGTGTTGTATTTCATGACACACAAAAAAGTTCGAAGTTGAATTATTGTAAGTTGACATTAAGTTTATACAAGTATAAACTGGTTTATCAGTTGTTTTGTCCTTGCAGTTATAACCAATTATTGGATGAGGTTTTTGTGATATCGGGAAAAAGCAAGGTTGAGGTAAGTGTTATCAGTCGAAGCCGAAGGCTGAGGCTGATAAGACTAACCAAGACCTTGATTGTTTCGGATACCACAAAAACCGAATCTAATAATTGCTTTATTATACATTGTTTTAAAGAAAATAACGACAAACGCATTATCGCACTGAACACAGTTTATTTTCGAAAATTCATGTTCTTATTTTGTCGTCCGTGAACTTGACATTGCTCTTGGTAATCATGCATTGCGCACGCAACCAACAGATTATTCTGTTTGCAGATTAGTGAATAATCTATAGGTTGCAATGTTTCCCAGAATTAACTGTAGGCTTTTAGCCACTGAGAAGACAGATGGTGACTACAATGTATAATAAAATAGATTAAATGCAGTTTGCAGTTTTCTTTCAGTTTCACAACTGAACAAAATGCACTTTTATCTCCTACTGAATTTAGTTTGGTTGGAATTAAGATCCACGCCTCAATGAATTCAGCCAATCAAAATCAATTTAGTTGGAATTTGCTTGAGCTCATGTGAAGTACAGTGTCTGAACCAGGCCTAAGACCTCAGGTTGCCATCTTGCCATGTACTGGATTTGAGAAAGAAGTTGGGATTCTTAGTAGTTTACACATCTAGTTTTGACTGACGTGTATGTTGTTTACAGTATCCCCAGTTTACAAGTACAGCATGTTATACTTAGTCATCAATATAATTTCATTTTTTCATTTTTTGCCAAAAACATCTGTTGGCAATAATTGCCCCCTAACCAGACATTTCAAGTTATTGGAGTCACCATCTTAACCTGAAAGGATTTTAAAAAGTGTGTAGCATACTGGTATGAATGTATGATGATAATTGAAGGGGTGAGTGGAAAACCATGGTAAGTGACAGTTTGGGTGAAAAAAAAATTTTCGCAAAAGGGCTTGAATTTTTGCATGTGGTCTTCAATGTAATAGAAAAACGTGGTCCTGTATTTTTGTTGCAAGTTTTTGCTTTGTTTTCGTGTTAAAATGTATGCAAAAAAACTTGGCTTTTCCTAGCCATGTCTTTAAGAGTTTATTTTTTGAACAGCAAACAGGCAGACTGGTTATAGTGTATGAAGATTGAGATTGTTTACATCGGTTATTGTAACATGAACACAACATGTGAATCAATTGAGCACCAAATGAAATACCATCGGAAAAAAAGAGATGTGCCGCATTAGAGCTCTGTCGACTAATATCTTAAGCATTGTTTTAAAGTACCTTGCATGCCTGCCTGGTGGTTGAGAGCCATCATAAAACCTCGATAAACCTGTAAGTCATCAGCATGTTTTAAAGAATCAAAATGTGTTCTGAAACTTCGAAGGCACTGATATACCGTAATTGTGTTATCGGCGTTCAAAGTCAAATCGAGCCAGGCAGCAAAGTCCAAGAGCAGTTCTTGCCCAAGAAAAATACCCTCTGGAGAGTAATGTGGCCCATTTCCCAAGCATTGCTAGCGTCAAAGTTTGGAAAGCAAGAACTGGTTTTAGACTTATAAAATTTGTCTTGTATCAACCACCATGTTTTCTTGCGCACGAGGTGTAAAGACCCTTCCCGGCATTCATTGCAATCACGTTCTGAGGACGTTTCTCGAACTGGTGACTAGATTGTTTTTCCTTTTTCATTTACACATAATAATGGCCAACAAGTAGCGATCGTTTGTAACATAGACCTGTGATCCAGGTTGAGTTGATTTTATTTCAAATCGGCATGATTTGTAGTGTTTTGAGCTTCTGGGATCAGCAGACATGCAGATGTATGGAGACCCGTACGTTGCACAGAAGGGTTAATCTGTTAATCTGTCAGCCCTATTTATGGAGTGTTTTCACCTGAAGTCATCAAATTCTTAAATCCAAAACTAAACAGCCAACAAAGTTGTTGTCCTCATCAGGCATAAGAGGTACCAGCGCATTTTGTAAGCGCATTGAGTTTTTTTTAAATGTGCCCAAAAAACTTTATTATTATTATTATTATTATTATTATTATTATTATTATTATTATTATTATTTTGAACTTCGAAGTTATGGTGGTGCATGACATAAAGCTACGATCGTGTATGTCGAAAACTATGTATTTATCTCGTGATTTTTAGCCATTTAAGACCTTGCCGTATTTGGAAAAGTGGTTATTGAAATGTTTATTTGTTTTATTTTGTTTTTATTTACAACTTTTTTGACCTGAAATCAACATCTTTGAGCTTGTATACGTCGCATGAAATTACATCCTTGCCGTCACACATTAATGTGAAATCAACATTTTAACCTATTTAGACCTGAAATCAACATCATTGAGCTTATGCACTGCATGAAATTG